GTGAGCATAGGAATCAGGGAGTGTACAGAAGCAATCAGGAAAGGGAAACTAATATACACAATGAGGCATTAGTCAACCTAAAGTTTAAAGACTGATAGGATGTGTATTAGGAATGAATCTATTCCATCAGCTTAGCGTCCCACAAACATAGTTTCTAGGCAAGGAATTCACTTTATAATAAAAGGAATGTGGTCACCAGTTGCCAAGATGGCCCCCAGTGATCCTGGTCTTGTGTAGTCCCTTCCCACATTGACTTAGGCTGACTTTGTGTCTTTTTTTTTTTTTTTTAACGTTTATTTATTTTTTAGTGGGAGCGGGGAAAGGGCAGAGAAGGAGGGAGACACAGAATCCGAAGCGGGCGGGTTCCGCGCTGACAGCAGTGAGCCGAAAGTGGGTCTCAAACTCAGGAACCGTGAGATCATGACCTGAGGCAAAGAAGGATGCTCAACTGACTGAGCCGCCCAGGTGCCCCTGACTTTGTGTCTTAACCCATTTTGGCTGCTATTACAAAATACCCTAGACTGGGTAGTTTATAAACAACAGATGTTTTTTTCACAGTTCTGGAGGCTGGGAAATCCAGGATCCAGGTGCTGGTGCATTGGTGTCTGGTGAGAGCCCACTTCCTGTTTATAGATGGCTTTTCTTTTCAGTGTAACTTCACACAGTGGAAGGGACAAGGGAGCTTTCTCGGACCTACTTTTATAAGGGCACTAATACTCTTAGTGAGGGTTCTGCCCTCATGACTGGATCACCTCCCAAAGGCCCTGCCTCCTAAGGACCCTACCATCACCTTGGGGCTAGGATTTCAGTATATGAACTTGCTGGGGACATAACCATTCTCTCCTTAGCACCGTGCAGACAGCAGAATGTTGTGGAAATGATGATGTGTGATGGTAAGAGCTCCATCATAAAAGATAATGTGATTTCCATGTTGCTCTCTTGAATCTCTTGTTCTGTGGGAAGCCGATTAACTCTGTTGCAAGGACATACGAAGTTGTCTCTATGGAGAAGTTCATGTGAGGGACTGAGTTTCCTGCCAAACGTAGCATGAGGGCACCGCCTTGGAAGACCATCCTGCAGCCACAGTCAAGCACTCAGATGACTGAGTCCCTACGCACAACTTAACTGCAGTCTCATGACAAGTCCTGGTCGAGAACAACCATTCATCTAAACCATTAACAGGTTCCTGACCCATAGGAATTGTGTAAGGTAAATGTTTTGTTTTTCAGTATACAGTGTAAGTTTCATGCCAGTGGACAATATCTGCTGAACTTTCTGCCAACCAGGAATTTATGGGGCAAGGAAACGAGGTAGAAGGAATAGACTCGCACCACTTGTTGTAATACCGGATGATCTCCTTGCACGATTTTGCTTCTTATCCCAGCAACACTGGGCTCTGAAGAGACTTCTTGCCGGCCAATTTGGACTCGTTTTGCTGCTAGATAAACTGACCAAACAAGAGATTCTAATATTGTTATGAATTTGACGATGACTAGAAAATAGTTTTGCTGCTACACGATGGTAGCAGAGAGGAATATGGATGGCAAGATCTCCTGGAGAGGATTCTGGAATTGCCATGACCTGTGATGGCAGCTAATGAAAGACTAAGATAATCTTATGTGGGCAAGGTCATAAAGAGGTCAACTCTCTCTGACATGAAAGTTTGGTGACTATCAGATTTTATTTTATATTTATTTTTATTTTATGGGGCGCCTGGGTGGCGCAGTCGGTTAAGCGTCCGACTTCAGCCAGGTCACGATCTCGCGGTCCGTGAGTTCGAGCCCCGCATCGGGCTCTGGGCTGATGGCTCGGAGCCTGGAGCCTGTTTCCGATTCTGTGTCTCCCTCTCTCTCTCTGCCCCTCCCCCGTTCATGCTGTGTCTCTCTCTGTGCCAAAAATAAATAAACGTTGAAAAAAATAAAATAAAATAAAATATATTTATTTTTATTTTTTAATATTATTTATTATTATAATTTTTTACTATATCAGATTTTAGAAACTTGAACAGCCAAGATGCTGGCTAAAGACAAAGGGAACGTGAATTAAAATGTGGATAAGGAAAATTACTAATATCAACTAAGGATTCATGGCTGCCTGTGGAAATGAACACTACAACTTCCAGTCATATTTTCTTCCTTCCCGTGTTGTGTTTTCGTCTATGTATTTTTGCCAGCTAGCTTTCTTCTTCTTTCCTCTGCCTTCGTTCCTCTCTTTTACGTACACATAGCATATGTAGTTACTGGTTAGCTTTCAAGTTTGATTCAGAAGTAATAGAATGTCACGCTGGGAACATGATTGGAGTAGCAGAGATCCCGTTATGGGCCTGGATACAGTAACTGATGGGCTTGAGTTGTTTCCATACTGTGAGCAGTATAGTTGCATTATGTTTAGGCCAGATAGTTTCTCTTCTACTGAAGCATAAATTGGTAAGAGGGATATGTGTTAATGTTGTGTGCAACTGGAGGGCTGGATTCTAGAGGGCATTTATCGTGCTTTTTGGCTTCCCAACTTCTGTGATGTTTCTCAAGCTTAGGTAATTTCTCACTTCATAATTCTGGTTGAGAAAAAGCCAGCTTCTTCCTACGTAACAGGACACCGTGAATAACTTATTTCCCAGCTGCTCTTGCAGCTAAGATGTGGGCATATGACTACCCATCAGGTATCCTGACTCTGCCTCTGACAGGAAGAAGGGGAGACCAGGAGGACCTTTTCCAGCAGTGGCAGTCGTTGCTGGAAGTGGATTCCCAAGTGCTGCTGGTGGCATCCCATGTCCAGTGATAGCTGTGTCAGAGCCGTGAACTGTAACATTTCGGCTTGGCGTCAGCAGAAACACCTGTGCTAATCAAACCAGTTCTGTGGTGTGATTTGGGCCATTATAGTTGGTGTGTGACCTTCTGAGCCTGGTTCTCCACCTGCTCAGTGTTTTTGAAGGGTATCCATTCAAGAAATCCTTTTCTGATTACCTCAGTAAGACTTGATTTTTGTCATTCGCAACTAAGAACTGTGAGTGAGGCTACGATGTAGCCAATCATCAGAAAAGGTCTTGAACTCTGAGCTGGATAGCCATCTCTCCAGCTCATCTCTACTTTTCTGTGTTGCATTCTTTGCCCTTCTCTATAGACTTTGCTTCTGCATCTGTGAAGCAGTCAGGAAAGAGTTGCAAGCTTCTAGATTTACGTATTTAGGCCAAGTCCTCCCTCCCCTAGCTACTTCTGGAAGAAAGAAAGAGAGGGTGGGGGGGGGAGGAAAGAAGAAGGAAAGGGGGCAGAAAGAAAAAGAAAGTAAAGGAAGGGAAGAAAGGAGGAAGGGATGGAGGGAGGGACAGAGGGAAGGAAGGAGAGAAAAGAGAAAAGGAAAAAGAAGGACAAACTGAGAATTACCCACAGGTCCTCAGCCTCAGTTCCAGGTTCCCTAATCCAGTCACGAATCATCACTGGACAGGAGGTGTTGGGCTGCTGGATTCCACACCCCTGTGATGCTCGGATTAGGGGACCATTTTCAGAAAAGGGTGATCCGTTGTGAGCTGGGAAGACATTGTGAAAAAATCTACTCCAGGAGCCTGGGGTTTCTCAGTCATGGTGTGCTATGCCATCTCTGATAGATATGTTACCCACCCCACCCCCCAATTACAAACAGGTTATCCTTTACACCAAATGCTTTAAAGGATTTAGTACAACTCCGTAATGCCACCCTGAACCCCTTCCCAGCATCCCTATCTGTAAGTGACGAGATATGAAAGAAAAAAAGGGGTTCACTCAGGTAACACTGCAATAACCCTAGTTTCTGACCTAAGAAAATAAGAAAAATCTTTTAACAATAAGATGTTCACATCCACAGACATAAGCCCAGATCAGCAAGGTGATGCAATTTGAGGTCTCAGGGAATTTTCTCTGAGACTTATCTCTGCCCAGATTGTTTTGTCTCCAAGTTCTGACCCAGGGGTTAAATCCTTATACTTTGTCATCACTGTTGGGTCCACAGGGACCGGGAAATAGGTGGGACAATTAATTTCTGCTTGTCTCTAACGAGGCTCTCAGGGAATCTGGTCCCAATGGCCATGGAAGCCACTGTAAATACCTGTTTCTAGATCCTCCCCAACATCCTTCTCTACACAGAGGTCTCAGACCGTGAACCTCCACTTCTCACTTGCTCGAGATCTACCAATATTTCCACTACTTTCCAATCCTTATATTAAAGAGGAGCATTGGTTGGTTCCTCAAAGGTAAAGAACCCTTGATAACAACAGTACAAACTTCTTCCAGGTAGGATTATAACAGATTATATATACATATACATATATATGTGTGTATGTGTGTGTGTATTTTTTCCACTAATGCGAAGAGCTTTCTTTATCAAACCTTCCAGATCCAGTGGGGTGCCTGGGTGACTTAGTAGGTTAAGCATCTGATTCTTGGTTTCGGCTCAGGTCATGATCTCACGTGTTGTGAGTTCTAGCCCTGCATCGGGCCCTGCACTGACAATGCAGAGCCTACTTGGAATTCTCTCATTCCCTCTGTCTCTCTGCTCCTCTCCCACTTGCTCTCTCTGTCTCTCTTGAAATAAATAAACTTAAAAAAAAAAAAAAAACAGATCCAAGGAGTAATAGAAAGAGTCCTGAATCCATCAGCTGGAGCTTGAGATAAACCCAGTAATAGTCAACTGTTTCACTTATCTTTGTGAGCTGCTAAGAAGTGGGAGAAAGCCTGGCGATGTTAGAAGAAACATTACATAATGGCAGAGAAGGGCTGTGTTTGTGCCTGTTTGTTGTTTTTATATTTGATACAATTTTAAAGATTAGTGCAATGGGACTAGCATCATCTAGTACTGGGAGTTGGAAGCTCAGGGTGTAGAGACCAGGGGTGGATCCCGACTGAGCAATTCTAATGCAGGTTTCGTTAACGTGACCATGTGGCTGGATGGAGCTTAGATTGATGTGTCCAAACCCAGAACTTCTAGGTTTCTGAGCTCTGCCTCTCCTCTCTGCATCTGAGTCCAGCCCCATGAGAGGAGCAAACCAGTCGAGTGTCTCCGAGTTCCTCCTCCTCGGGCTCTCCAGGCAGCCCCAGCAGCAGCAGGCCCTCTTTGCGCTCTTCCTGAGCATGTACCTGGCCACGGTCCTGGGAAACCTGCTCATCCTCCTGGCCATCAGCGTGGACCCCCGCCTGCACATCCCCATGTACTTCCTCCTCAGCCACCTGTCCTTTGTGGACATCTGCTTCTCCACGACCACCGTCCCCAAGATGCTGGCCAACCACATCCTTGGGACTCAGGCCATCTCCTTCTCTGGGTGTCTCACACAGATGTATTTTGTGTTCATGTTCGTGGACATGGACAATTTCCTCCTGGCTGTGATGGCCTATGACCGCTTTGTTGCCATATGTCACCCCTTACACTACTCGACAAAGATGACCCACCAGCTCTGTGCCCTGCTGGTTGCTGGGTCATGGGTCATTGCCAACCTGGATGTCCTACTGCATACCCTGCTGATGGCTCGACTCTCGTTCTGTGCAGACAATGCCATCCCCCACTTCTTCTGTGATGTGACTCCCCTCCTGAAACTGTCCTGCTCTGACACCCATCTCAATGAGATGATGGTTCTTATCGAAGCAGGGTTGATCATGATCGCTCCGCTTATTTGCATCCTGGCTTCGTATGTCCATATTACCTGCGCTGTCCTGAGAGTCCTGTCCACGAAGGGAAGATGGAAAGCCTTCTCCACCTGTGGCTCGCACCTGGCCGTGGTTTCCCTCTTCTATGGCACCATCATTGCTGTGTATTTCAACCCTTTAGCCTCACACTCAGCTGAGGCAGATATAGCATCTGCTGTGATGTTCACGGTGGTGACCCCCATGCTGAACCCCTTCATCTACAGCCTGAGGAACAAGGACATAAAAGGGGCTCTTGGAAAAGTGGTTGCTCTGAATATTTTTCTACCTGGTAATCAAATGGGCTAAGAAAATCAGGCAGGGAACTAGTTTCTAAGAAGACCATATTTGCTTTTTCTGTTGTGCAAAGCTCAGTATTTGTCATGTGTGAGAGAATCATCTAGTGTCTGTCTTGGGAGACCAGATTTGATACAGCCTCTTCAGCTAAGGATGGAAAGCAAGATCCTCTTACCAAATAACTTACTCCACCTGTTAGTGCCCTGCAGCTAAAACCCACTAGCAACACATGTCTTGTTGAATGAGTGTGGTTTATCAGGCTCAGAGGGGAGAATACATACCATCGGGAGTTGTGAGGCATCTTAGCAGGAAGGTGTTAGACAGGATTTGCAAAAGGCTTGTTGTCTGAGGTGAATTTAGTGAGGATTTAAGGAAATGGGTCTGTGCTCTGGATTTCACACTGTCACATAGTAGGGATGATTCTGATGGAGTATCTTAAAATATTTTATCTAGGAGGGAAGACTAGACTAAGGCAAGACTGTGATTGGCAGAGAAGTAGCATTAATTCGTATCAGCCAACATAGGGGGAGTTTGGTCATTTTTGTGGCTTGGACAGTGTTCGGACATGATTACAGAGTGATCTCTCTTTGTCTTGCTCCATGATGGTCACAGAGCAGCCCTGTGTGGTACTGTGGTTGTGTTCATCCTGAGAACATGGCATCTATCTGTGAGTGCCAGGCCATCTCCTGGGTGTCAGGACTGGTTTGTCTTTCTCACAACAGAGACGCAGAGATAAGAGTACATCTTATGGGAAGCTCAGACCAGTGGGGCTAGGAAAGGGAAGGGTTCATTTAGGGCTCCAAGAAGCCCTAATTCTGCCACGAATTCAAGCTAATTATTTGTTATTTTCTTATCTGAGCTTTCTGGGTCACACAGCATTACAGCAGGAATAAGTGTGAGATACACAAGAATATCTTCGAAAATCTCCACTGTGTCAATGAACTGCATCTTTTTTCCACACTGCCTTCAGTTTATGTCAATGCGCTGGGATATTTTACATAGTTACTAATTTGTATCCTGATTTCCCACTATAATTTTATAATAAAGCTTTTCAAAATTACTGTATAGTCTCCACAATTTTATTTTGCTATACTGATATATTTCCATCAAGTTGTTCTAGCAAAATATGCTGACTAGTAATTCTGTTTCTAAAATAAAACGTAAGGGAAGTTTACTATAAAATTATAACTCAATTTATTTTGAAAGTGATTGCAGAACATAACCTGACCAATATTGAAACTGGTCAAAACATCACTGAAAAGGATGCTCTGGATTTTGAGGAACGAAGAGGAAAATAGGGTAGTTTCCTTTCATTTCAGAGAGAGAGGCAAAAAGACATCTTGCATAAACACTGACAGAACTCAGAATTGGGGTATTTCTGAGTTTATCATGTGATTTTTATATTTACATATTTGCGTCTCCATATGTTTGCCAAATGGAATAGATGGTAACATTTTCAATTTTTAGTCTACATATCCAGGAATTCTTCATAATAAGATGGAAAGTACCTGTTCCTTGAAATTTTGAAGGAATCCCCCAGCTTTTGTTTCATGTATTTTGGTGGCCTGTAGTTAGATGCATATATGTTTATAATTTTTATTTATTCCTGTTTCATCCTTTTATCCTTTTTGTCCTTGCCTAGAAATAAAATTTATGGGCATAGAGTTGTTCATATGGTTGACTTTAAACATAAAACTGTCAGTTATCTTACCAGCAAAAATGGGTTTATCTGGAGATAATTGCAATTAGTGATGAACATGCAATGACAAAACCACAGGCATTCCCAGAAGACAAAGAGGACTGCTCTTGTATAGAGAAAGATGGGGAGTTGGGAGGGGCCGTCATAAGCAAAAAGTCCATTGGAGTAAATGGCGTTCTGAGGTGTCGTGCTTCCTTATTGGCTGAGTTGTGATTGTCACTGGCTTGGTTCTTTCTAGGCAAGGACAAAACCTTTCTTTCTCCTGTTGCGGTAGGCGGTAGTATCTACTCATGAGGCCTCTCTTCCTGTTGGGCCTACGGTTGATGGCCAACGGCAGCTTGTGAGAGCTTGTCTTTCTCACACAGTGGGGAGGTTAAGCCTCCCTACCCTGTTCAAAGTGAAGTTTCCTGGGGCGCCTGGGTGGCGCAGTCGGTTAAGCGTCCGACTTCAACCAGGTCACGATCTCACCGTCCGTGAGTTCGAGCCCCGCGTCGGGCTCTGGGCTGATGGCTCAGAGCCTGGAGCCTGTTTCCGATTCTGTGTCTCCCTCTCTCTCTGCCCCTCGCCCGTTCATGCTCTGTCTCTCTCTGTCCCAAAAAGTAAATAAACGTTGAAAAAAAAAATTTAAAAAAACAAAGTGAAGTTTCCTTTTATCAATTTTCACAATGATATTCCTTTAGTGCCCTTTTCATGTCCACAGGATCCACAGCGATGACCTCTTTCTCATTTCTCACGGTAGTATTTGTGCCTTCTCTCTTCTTTTGCTGCTTAGCTTGGCTAAGGGTTTATCAAATGCATGGATCTTTTCAAAGAACCAGCTTTTGATTTCGTTTGTTAGTTTTCTCTATTGGCTTCCTGTTTTTAATTTCGTTGATTTCTGTTCTAATTTTTATTTGGGTTTTCTTCTGTTCACTTTGGATTTAATTTTCTGTTGTTTTGTAGATGTCAGGGTAGAAACTTAGATGATTGATTTTAGGTCTTTCTTTCCTAATATATGCATCCGGGGCTATAAATCTTCCTCTAAGCATTGCTGTCACTGCACCCCACAAGTTTTGGTAAGTTGTATGTCCGTTTTCATTTAGTTCAAAAATATTTTTACATTTCTTGAGATTGAAATAACCATTTCTAATTTACAAGGGTGTTGTTAAATTTCCACATATATTTTGGTATTTTCCAGTTATCTTTTGTTATTAATTTCTAGTTTAGTTTCACTGTGATCGGAGAGCATACTCTGTATGATTTCTATTTTTTAAAATTTGCTAAGGTGTGTTTCATGGCCCATATGCAGTCCGTCTTGGTGATGTTTCTCGTGCACTTGAGAAGAATGTGTGTTCTGCTGCTCTTGGATGAAATATTCTATAAATGTTCAGGGAAGTGTTGGAATTGAAGGTGAAACCGGTGTGGGCTTGAGAGAATGGAAAGAGAGGACGAGACCCACCCTACCAACAAAAATAAATGAAAAGCACTGGGGGCAGGGCACCTGGGTGGCTCAGTCGGTTAAGCGTCCAACTTCAGTTCAGGTCATGAGCTCACGGTTCTGGAGTGTGAGCCCTGCATCAGGCTCTGTGCTGACAGCTTAGACCCTGGAGCCTGCTCCAAGTTCTGTGTCTCCCTTTCTGCCACTCTCCCATTCAGGGTCTGTTTCTCTCAAAAATAAACAAACATTAAAAAAAAATTTTTTTTTTGATGAAAAGCATTCGTTTTTTTATTAGCTATCTAATATTCTACATTTTTATTCATTTGGGCTGTTTTTAATTTTCAGTATTACAATGTTGTATTTTTGCTTGTATTGAGAACGTAATTGATGGGACTAATAGTAATATATTTTTTTAAGATTGTCCCAATAGATGGATACCATTATTCCTCTTTTGCCAAGCCAAACATTTACGTACTGACATACACACAGCCTGCTCATTTAATACACCTGACACCTTGTTCTTTCAATTTACCATTCTTAGATTACTGGTAAGCCTGAACATTCTTTCAGACTTCTTGTAGCCATTCAAGTTTACCTAACAGTTATCTGTTCATGTCTTACTGGAATGTTCCCTTGCTGCCCACTTCCTCCCCCTATCTCATCCTTCTGGTCTCAGTTTAAAGGCCACTTCCCCAGGGTCCTCCCTGGAAAATCCACTTGTAACACCCTTCTAGAATTCTTCCCTTCCTAGCACTTGTCATTCTGGAGCTGTATATGTTTTTTTTAGTTTTATTGAATTTCTGACCCCCTCTCCCCATCCTCCATCCCAAGAAACTCCATGGGTGCGTTGCTTCCCTTTACAACCCCTGGTCCTTGTGTTATGTCTTTAGGGGATGCATGCCTTCAAGTTGAAGTTGCTATTCTAACTGGATATCTGGGCCTTCAGATTTTTTAAGTTTATTTATTTATTTAGAGAGAGAGAACTTGTGCACGTGAGGCAGCAAGGGGAGAGAGAGGGAGAGGGAGGGAGGGAGGGAATAAGAATATCCCAGGCAGGCTCTACACTGTCACTTCGAGGAGCCCAATTTCACAAACCCACTGAGCTGATACCGAGTCAGACACCCAACTGACTGAGCCAGCCGGGTACCTTAGGCCTTCAGATGTGCTAACTGGCCCTTGCTGCTCTATTGGAAAACCATTCGTTGTTGAGTGTTTGCTGATTTTCATGAACTAATTGTCAGCTCCTTATCGAGCACTTAGTCATCCAATGGCTTCCTAGTGCTCTCCTGTTCGGGGGTGTGGACCCTGGGCATCCTGCCTCTGAGCTCCAGAGCAGGGGTGAGGAGCATTCTGCTCCAGACCCTCCAGGGTCCAGGGAGTAGGTGTAGGGAAGTCAGGCAGCCCAGGCCCCATCCTCTGGGGACAGTAGGTGACAAGGACTTTGACTGCTGGGCCCTCGCCTACACCACAGCCCACGGCAGAGAGCAGCTCCCGGGGGGAGGGGTTTGTGTCGTGGGAGTATCACACACCCACCGGCCTTGAGTACTGTGTGGTCTGACCCTCGCATCCTTGTGTCCTTATGGGGACAGTCTCGCCCCATAGACCCCACCCTCTCCAGTTACTGCCCAGCAGACACTTAGGCTTTGTTTTCTAGGTGTGATAACCAGGAAGACCCCAGCCAGTCTTCCTGAGGAATAAGAGAAGAATGTTGCTGGCATCCAGTTTTGTCCCTGGTTTTTAAAGGGTACTGTAGGCTTGAAATACAAAATCAATAAAGGACAGTTTTTTGTGTGTGTGGCCTTTAAGTGTCTGAATTAGGACTCAGGACTGAATTGTATCATCAGATGTCTTTCATTTTTAGTATGCTTTGAACCAAAACAAAACTTAGAACTACAGGTTTAAAAAATAATTGGAAAAGGGGCACCTGGGTGGCTCAGCCAATTAAGTGTCCAACTTTGGCTCAGGTCATGATCTTGGGATTTGTGGGTTCAGGCCCTGCATTAGGCTCTGTGCTGACACCTGAGAGCCTGGAGCCTGCTTTGGATTCTGTGTCTCCCTCTCTTTGCCCCTCCCCTGCTTGGCTCACGCTGTCTCTCTCAGAAGTAAATAAACATTAAAAAAAAAAATAACAAAATAACAAAGAGCAATAGGCAGAAAGAAACAAAACTATTATTTGAAGATGGTATAATTTTGAACCACAGATTGTAACAGAACTGAGAAATTACTGAAAATTAACATTCGATGAAGTGGCTAGTTTCACAAATATACAATTAAAAATAACTTTCCTATGTAAAAGCAAGAGCCAACTAGAAAAATACAATGGAAAAAAAAAACTATTTGCAATAACAAAGTCGTATACAACTTACGTTAAGAAAATTAGAAACATTTACTCAGGAATACAATACTTTAATAAAGGCATGGGAAACAAAATTTGTAAAGTTAACAAATTTTCCCAAATAGTTTATAGGATTAACCTATTTCAATCAAAATACCAATGTAAACTTCCAGGAAACCTAAAATAAAGCAAAACTGATCAAGAATCTTTAAAATAACACACCACAGGATGGGTCCCGTGAAGGCACCGCTGGCCTGGCCTCTGGGTGGACACGTCAAGAAAGTCTGGGTATCAGGAGGCCAAAGAGAACAAACATCCACTACAACGAAGACTCTGGAATCCTGCCTCTCGAGGAGCAATGTGAACTAGCCACTGGAGACAACTGTTAAAAATAAAACACTTTGCTTGTGAGGTAGTGACCACCCATTGCCAAGGGTCTGAAGACAGCTTGGAGGCGAAGTGAGCACATGGTAAGGTTACTGGCCAGTCATGTGTCCAAGCCGACGTCTTCCTCTTCCAGCACTTGGATTTCCTTCCTAGCAGGCCTTCTTCTTGGCTCAGCAGAGGGACAAGATTCTGAAGAGCTTTACCAGTAGTAGGGCTGGGTGGCTGGGCCTGAGTGATCCAAACTTCTTTTGGCAATGGAAAGGCATGAGTGCTATCTGAGCGATGAAGGGCTGGACAAAAAATGCAGTAAGAACAACAGACACTTTAAAAGTATGTTGTGAGGGGCGCCTGGGTGGCGCAGTCGGTTAAGCGTCCGACTTCAGCCAGGTCACGATCTCGCGGTCCGGGAGTTCGAGCCCCGCGTCGGGCTCTGGGCTGATGGCTCAGAGCCTGGAGCCTGTTTCCGATTCTGTGTCTCCCTCTCTCTCTGCCCCTCCCCCGTTCATGCTCTGCCTCTCTCTGTCGCAAAAATAAATAAATGTTGAAAAAAAAAATTTAAAAAAAAATATGTTGTGAAAAGTATTCCTGTAAAAGTCACTTTTCACTGCAAAATGCAAATGTTACTGACATCGATGGTTAGTTTAGATCACATACAAATGACAGAGTAAGTCTTTGACATTCACTTGCTGTTATTTTCCTATATTCCAAAGTAAACAATCCCTTTCAACACTCAAGCTTCAACAGGGTATTCTTAGAAGGTTATGTGAACTGCTAATAGAAGCTCTTGGCTTAATAAATCAGTAGTTTGGTTCTCGCAGGGGAACACAGTTCCAGATAAGGACTTTTGCATTATTATTATTATTATTTTTTTTTTCACAAGTGTGAATTCCTATGTGGGGGGAAAATGGATACACTTTCCATACACATGAGCCACTCTGTTCACCTTGCAGGTAAGTGGCCTCCAGACCCCTATTCAAAGCCTTTTGGGGAAAAGGGATCTGTGGCCTGTACATTGTTGTAGAAGTTCACAAAAGAGAGCTCCTTAATTCAGAAAATGTGGATGCTGACTGAGGTATAGCCCTTGAGAATGTCTTCTTCCCTGTGAAATTTTCTAAAACTTTGAGGTTTCAGCCAAGATGGGTATTTTCCCAATTTTGACTATAATGAGGTTTTCACATATCTGCATCTTTTCAGAAGTCTGGGAATTTAGAATTCCCTATTAAACATTTCAGGTCAAGGCAGGACCATCAGACCTTTCCTGATCCCATTTCTGCTTTCGTGTCTTACATGCTGAGTGGGTTTTTTCATGCCGGGTACAGTTGGAAAGCCGACCAAATCTTCTCCCACATTTTTTGCAACTATACGGCCTCTCAGCCTCATGACTCTGCAGATGAAGCACAAAGTCTTTATTCTCTGGGAAGGTTTTCCCACATTCTGGACACTTAAATATTTTCTCCCTTATATGGATTCCTTCATGGCGACTCCGATGAGAGTTCTGACGAAAGTTTTTCCCACACTGAGAACATGAATAAGGTTTCTCTCCTGTATGGATTCGCTCATGTTTATTAAGGTTTGTTTTATGATTGAAGCTTTTCCCACAGTGACTACAGTCATAGGGTTTTTCACCAGTGTGAGTCCTCTGGTGGGATATAAGGTAAGAACTTTCATTAAACTGTTTCCCACACAATGGACAAGTGTACCATCTTCTCGTTCTCCGATTTCGGGTAAGTGCAATCACGTTGATATCCACATACTTTGAGAGTTCCTCTAGTGGAGTATCATTTTCAATAGTAACTAGAAGATTTCTCACTTTCCTTTGTTTTGGAGTAGATGTACTTAGTCTGTCTTTATGGCAATACGGAGATTGCTCAGAGACCACAGAACAGTCCACTTCATCACAATCTGAAGTCTTTTCTCTATGATCTTCACTCTCTCCAGGTTCCTTCTGAAGATCGTCACTCTCAGGATTAATGTCATTGTCTGTGGAAACAAAGAGAATTGAATAACTTTTGAGGGATATGATACCGCAGGAAAAAAACAAGTTGGATTTCTCATCAAACAATAATCTTGAGTATCAGAAATCTGAGGACTAGCAGATAATTGTTACCAACACTTCTTTTCCACTCTGTGGATGGAATATATGACTGATAAATCTTTCTATGCAATGCATTGCAAGCACACATTTTTTTTTTTTTTTTTTTGAGAGAGAGAGAGCACTCAAGTGGGGGAAGGACAAAGTGGGGGGAGAGAGAGAATCCCAAGTGGGCTCCATGCTCAGTGTGCAGCTTGATGTAGGGCTCGATTCCATGACCCTGGGATCATGACTTGAGCAGAAATCAAGAGTCGGACGCTCAACTGACTGAGCCACCCAGTTACCCTCTTCCTTTTTTTTTTTTTTTTTTTTAATGAAATGAGGGGGACTACACTGAAATATTTTAAAGGTTTGCTTTCTGAGTAAGCACTAATTCCTCAAGAAGTTCATATTGATCTTATATTCTGTGTAGAACAGTGAGCTAAGGACCAGGGGATGAAAGACATCAATACTCAAGTGTATACCATCCCATTCTTTAGGAGGCTAGTAAGTGAAAGGTACAACGAGTTACTTCTAGGTTTTCACTACGTTAAGTATTACAATAGTATGGAATTAGATAATACTGTAATATCCTATATAATAGGGAAAAAGTGGGAATAATTCAAATGACCAAAAATAATGAAGGCCTATCACGTTCACTCAGTAGATGATTATTTGGGCATCAGGGTGATTACAAATGATTGAACTATGGTAGAAACCCATAGTGGTCTTTTTGGGGGAGAAAGGGGAGTAGTAACTGGGCAGTGGGCACAAAAGGGACCTCTTGGATGCCAGGAATGGTCTGAGTGATGGTCAGACAGATGTGTACATTTTGTGAAACCGTGAGGCGTACACTTTTGATCTGTAGGGTTTTCTGTATTTATTACCTCCGAAAGAAGTCTGTGTAAAATAACTACAAAGATTAAGTAACAAACTAAAAAAAGAAAAGTATGCTGTGAAAAGGTAGAGCAACAAGGGACCCCCTAGACTCTGGGCAACTTATGGATATTAAAGGGCTAAGTCAACCTCTTAGATAGACAGCTAACCACAGATCTGTGATAGGAATCTTTGCTGGATTAGTAGTTTCACACTAACAGACGTTTTCTTTTTCATTTATTCCCTTAGGTAATGAAAATGCTGAGTCAAAGCATATGGCAATTTTTATCACAGTCCTTGACACTGACTGCCATATTTCTTTCAAAAGAAGCTGTACCAATTTCAGCACAAGCATCAAGATATGGGTATCAATTTTACCTAATCTTGTCAGCATTTAATAGGTATAAAATGGTTTCTCGTTGTAGCTTTATTTTGCACTTTGTTACTACAAACCACTAATTTATTGGGCTGAGAGACTCATAAATTTAAATAAATTTTACATTTTGCAAATCTTAATCTCTGTGTAGGCAGTCACTACTAATGTAAATATTTAACTGAAGCCTACCTCTGTAACTCCACAACTTAAAACCATCAAAAAGTATCAGTCTTTCAAAATCAGATAAATGTTCTATTCTCTAGCCATTCCTTTATGACTTACTTTTACAGTTAACTCTTTTTTTTAAGTTTATTTATTAATTTTGAGAGAGAGGGCATGAGCAGGGGAGGGGCAGAGAGAGAGGGAGGGAGAAAGAATCCCAAGCATCGACAGTGTGGAGCCATATGCGGGGCTTGAAGTCACAAACTCTGAGATCATGACCTGAGTCAAAACCAAGAGTTGGACACTTATTCGACTGAGCCACCCAGGCGTCCCTACAGTTAACTTTTAATACATTTGGAGTTTAGTATCACACTGTATGTTATTGTTTGTAACATGTCTAATATTGGTAAAACCAGCCAGAATATCCTATTGAAAATTTTGACTCTGTTACCTACAGTGTAAATAAATTTGGAGAGCACCAATATCTTTACACGATTTGTTTTCCCATTTACATCTGTGTCTCTCCGATATTTAAGAATCTTTTATAGGGGCACCTGGGTAGCTCAGTCGGTTAAGCATCCGACTGCGGCCCAGGTCATGATCTTGCACTCTGTCTCTGTTAAAAATAAAGAAACTTAAAAAAAAAAAAAAAAA